GCTGATGGGTAAAGGAGCATCTGTTACACTGTTCTCTTTATTTTTGTGTATGTTTAAAATTTTCATGATTTAAAAAGAAATAAAATGATCACATAAAACTGTATTTTTTGGTCTGAAATGATGTCCGCAAGATATTTTTAAGCGAAAGGAGAAACATTTCAAGCAGCATATATGGCAATATCACATTTCTGGTTAAAAAAAATATGTATGTATTTTTATATGCAGAGGAAAAAGGACGGAAGTACACACACCAGAATGTTAATGGTGGCTATTTCTGGATGGAAGGAGTTGAGTAATTTCCATTTTCTTCTTTATATTTTGTAATAGTTTCTGACTTTATTTTGGCAATAACCATACATTACTTTTATGCTCATAAAAAAGCCAGTAAAGAAATTTTGGAAATCACCTGGATTTTTTAATATACCATGCTTTGTAGAAGGAGGTTTTACACATCTCAGTCTACACACGATAATATGTAAGGTTGATGCTGTCATCCCCATTTGATAACAGGGAAGCTGGTGCTGGCCATCAGAGAGGGTGAGTGCCTTGCCTAGAGACACACAGCAGCAATTCTAATTCCATTCTTCTGACGTGAAACCATTGCTTTTTCCACTAAACCCCAGATGCTTCTAGAGGACCAATAAGGAGTATCCGATGTGGTTCTTGCCTGCTAGGAACCGACACTGTCTTTGCTCTCCTGGTCGCTTGCCACCATGCTCCATTCTGGAGTCACCCCCTCTGTCCCTAGGACAGTTACATAAAGGCTTCCGCAAAAATGCACTTTCTCCCCCGTCACTTCACAGGTAAAACTCAGACACTGGCTGTTCGATACTTTCTCCTAATGAATCTTCCCAGTCCTCTTGCCTTTTTAGGATGGAAACGAGCTCTTCGTTGCTGTCCTCTTCATATTGATCAGCTCTGTTTACTGGCAGAGCAAAAGAGTGAGCGGGCATTGTATACATAAATATCATAAAATCCACCGAGGGCTGGCAAGCCCAAGTTCTTAATCCTGGCTCCATCACTAGCAATTTGCAACCCAAAGAAGTCCCTCTCTCTGTGTTTTCTCTGTCTCTAAAGTAAATAAAGGATAACGTGTTTAAAAAAAAAAATCAGTTGGTGTTCTGAGGAAAAGGGTGGGGTGGGGGAGAAGACAATTCTAAATTGGGCTGAAAATACAAAGTTTTTGTTAATGCTGGAGATGGGTGAAGCCTTGTCTCCACATCTTCCCCATCAGCTCTCAGCCAGAATACTGGGACGTCTCTGAACTGGTCTCCTTAATCTCCAAGCACCTCCTCTCCCACTGCCTCCACTGATTTCCCCCCAGGCTGATCTTTCTAAAGCGGAAATCCAGGTGAGTCACCTCTGTTAAAACCCTTAAAGCTTCCCATTTCCTTCTGGAAAATGTCCAGCTTCTCTGGTCTATGTACCGAAATCTCCATGCTCTTGTTTTGCCTTCTCTCCAACCTCTCACCAGCTGGGTACCCCTCACTCCTCACCCAGTGCTTAACGCACAGTTCCTCAAGGGGGACCCTGCTTCATGCCTCAGGGCCTTTGAACGTGTGGTTCCCTTTGTCTGGAATGCTTTTCCCTGGTTGACACTGGGTGTTTCCCTGCGAGGTGCCTGGAAACCCTTCTTACCTGTGAGACTTGAGCTCCTTGACGGCACAGCCTCAGCCATCCCGATATGCAGCAGGGCCCCTGCACTGAGATGGACCCAGGGATGGGATTGGCAGGTGCAAAACCAAAAGCTTCTCTCAAAATCAAAAACTCCTCCAAGAGATGTGGGTTAGCACGATTCTCAGCTCCCATCCTGGGCTCCACTGAATCTGCTCTGACTGCTATCCCAGTTTGGGACAGGAAACTTTTAATTTGCAGTATACCATTTTAAAATATACATTTTAGCACCAGAATGCATGTATTTTAGCTACAGCAGGTAGCTCCCTGCTCTCTGAGTCTCCTCGCAGATGACCATCTAACCAAGGCAACTTTCCCAGTCATGGAAAACTAAGGGCTGGTGCTCATGGCAAAAACAGTGTCAGGGTGAACCACTGGGCCCAGGATACCCCCCTGGGGCTGCCTCACATGCCATCCACAACTGAATGGGGAACTCTTCCAGGGTGGGACCCCAACAAAGAACTCAGCCTGTAAAGTGCCTGAGGGCCCATGTTGGAACTGGGGTCTATATTTCTAAGCGACCACTCCAAAATGTGATGGGCCCCGCTGTGTTCCCACACTCCTACTCACCCAGGCTTCTCTGCCCTCTTGGTGGGTGAACCCAAGTGATGCCAGTAGGCAGCAAAAGGTACCGCAGAAGGGTCGGCTTCACAGAGCCAGGGAGTGAACAGAAAGAGGCCAGGCCCCTGCCTCAGACCATTCCTCGCAGAAGGAAGGAAACCGTGGAGGACAGGGAATGTCCCAAAGACAGCAGGAGAAGCGCTCAGCTCCTGTGCTCGTCCACAGCAGTGGGGGACCCTGGTGCCTATGCTTTTGGGGTTCCACTGGGGTTTATTTTTTTAATTTTTTTTGCGGTACGCGGGCCTCTCACTGTTCCAGCTGCTCCGCGGCATGTGGGATCCTCCCGGACCGGGGCACGAACCCGTGTCCCCTGCATCGGCAGGCGGACTCTCAACCACTGTGCCATCAGGGAAGCCCTCCACTGGGGTTTAGAAGTGAAGTGTTGGCTCATCTTTCTCTTCTATGGCTTGTAGGTGATTCTAGGGCAGGGACTGAGTCCCATCCATCTCCAGATCCCCCAAAAGTCCATGCACACAGCTCAGACCCAGTGCCAGCCGCCAGGTAAAGAAAGTGGAAGGCGGGCTTTCCACTTCTGAGGGGCCTATGAAATCAACCACACCGAGAGGGGCCAGACATTCTGCCCTCTCAGATCTTGCTGAAATGTCCCCTTCTCAGGGGTATCCTTTCTAACCTCCCTATTTCATACTGCTACCCCCTCCCTGGCACACCCTCTGCACGCCCTGCTCTGTTACCATCCATCAGACCCCTGGATTTCCCTAAGTGAACCTCTTTCCCACCCCACTAGAATGTAAGCACCCTGAGGGTAGGGATTTTTGTTTTACTCTCCAAGTCCCCATTTCCCAGAACAGGGACCAACACTTTGCCCTCAGCATCTCACCCTCTGTGTGGGTCCCCACGTTAGCCCCCTGGGGGCCATGGACAGCGGAGGTGGGAGCACCTGCTCCCCCTGCTGGTGGCGCAGGTTTCTGCCCCCCCCCACACCCCGGAGGGAGCCAGGCATAAGGCTAGGGGATGAGTGCCAAGCTCCCCCAAGGACGCCCTCACCACCCTGTCCCTGCAGTTGGCACCAGGCTCCTGCAGCTCTGCGAGCATGCAGCTGGGGAGCAAGGTGCCAGCCTCCTCTTCTCGCCAGGCAGTCTCGTCTTAGGAGGATTCTCCTGGGGTCTCCAGTGCCTGGTTCTTAGGGTGGGGCCGGAGAGGGAGTGGTACCCATCCACCAACACTGTCCACCCTCACTCCCTCCTCCTCTTGACCACTCGATCTTCTTATATAAACAGCAAAGAGCAAGGAGTGGAGAGGCGGGGCACCTCCAGGATGCCCCGGGGAAGGTGTCTGGCCCCAGCCTTTTGTGATCTCTTTAGGAAGTGGGTTTCTTAGCATCTCTTTGGCCACAGCCCTGGGTCCCAGTAACCAATTCTGGGGCAACTGGAAATGTCCCTTCCGTGTCTCCTTGGTTGTTTATTGTAGATCTTCCCTTCCGGAACATGGGCCCAGAGACCCACAGCTTGACGTGACCAGTGCCTAGGAAAATGCCCGGCAAATTGCAGGCCCCTATCTTCCGAAAGAAATGACTCACTGGGAAGATGGCTGTGGCTACAGTGAGTTTGTGTTGAGAAGTGACAGGAGGGGGGATGGGAGGGGCCCGAGGTGGTCGATACGTGGCCTATGCCCTTCACGTGTTATCTCACTTCTCACAGTGACCTCGAGGGGCAACCGAGCCACCACCTCCACTTCCTCCCGGCCAAGCTCAGGCGGATGCAGGGAGGCGGCGGCTGTGGGCCAGGCTCTGGCGTCCATGATTCTGACTCTGGTTCCTCAGTTGTAAAAGTGGGACAGCGAGACTCCACGTTGTAAGGATTAAATTAGCTAATACGTGTAATGTGCTCAGCTCATGTAGAGACATGGCAGGTCATAAACAGGAACCAGAGTTAATTTCCATTATGACTGCTATCACTGGGACAGACCCAGAATCTGCCTACCGCCAAAGCCAGCACCCTGCACAGCACCCCCACTCCCACCAAGAGGGCGACTGAAAGAGGGTGATGACCCTCTGGGGCCCTGGAGCTGAAAGAAGCTGAGACCGCCGGGTGAGGGTGACAGTCAGAGGCAAGCTTCAATGCCAGACCTTGGCCCGCAGCCCTGATGTAAGGGGCAACGAGGAACTTCTATGGGTCTTTAATCAGGGGAGTGAAATGATGAAAGTGGTGTTTTAGGAAGATTAATCTGGCAGCAGAGACAGGATGGAAAACAGTCAAGCTCAGTGCAAAGAATTATGACTGCTTCCCGGCTTGCTGAGAGGAGGGTCATTAAAGGAAAGTGGCCTCGTTCTTGGCTCCCTGGGTGCCAAGCTCAGGGTTCCCGGCAGCTGGGAGGGGCTGGGTCTTTATCAAGAAGAGGCACCCAGGGTAGCCGGCAGAGGGCACTGTTTTTGCCAGGGACAGTAGCCATCACCAGGGAGCTCTGGCTGAGGAGCAAGGTGGACAGCGGGACAGCCAGCAAAGTCGAATCTGCTAGAATAAGGAGAGGGCCATCAGCGCCCTGGCCACGTGGCAGATTCCAAGCTGAGCACCTCAACTACGGCAAGTTGTGGGGTGGGCTCTTGCGGGGAGGTCCTTCGGGGAGGGCAGGACACCCACTGTCACAAGCACCAGCTCCCACCACTGGAGGCTGCTCTGGAAGCAGAAGCCAAAGTGTAAAATGGCACCAGGGCTGCCCCGACCAAGAACGGAATGAGCTGCTGCTTCTCCATTTTTCTCATTTTATTTAAAGCTGTCACGATAGATTGGAAGGGCTCAGGCCACTCTATCTTCTCCCATCTCCCGAGGAGACGGAGCCCGCGGCCAGGTTCCATCGCGGGGAATGGTCCAGCCAGCCCCTCACACCAGCGCCTGGAAAACCTCCAGCTTCTCCCGGTACAGGTGGTGAAACTGCTTGGCCAGGTAGTGGAAGGGGGCTTTGTAGTTTTCCATCTCCTTCTGGAGAGACAAATTGAAGAAGTCAGTTGGTTGGTTGTAGGACTGTCACAGAGAGCTGGCATCGCCCGCTCTTCCCTCCTGCCAGGTGCTCCGCCCTCTGCCCCAACTTCTCCTCCCCACCACCCCCACCACTCAGGGCAGCTACTACCATTCCTCCCATTTTACAAGAAGGAAACTGAGACGTGGAGAGGTTAAGGTCACGTGCCGAGAGCCACACACTTGCCCGTGATGGAGCTGGGTCTGAACCTAGACCTGTTCCTGCAGAGCCTGTACTTTTAGCCACTCTCACTGTGTGTGTGACAGGATGTTAAAATGAGACTCTTCTTGCTTAGTTTTGACTGAGGCTCCAAAGGTCAAAGCAAAACAACCGATGGCAAGGACCTCCACACTCTGGAGGGAGGAGCAGACAGGATGGAGGTCGGGGAGTGCTGTGGCACTTCCCCCAGGATGCGGGTGCTTCTCCCTCATCCTGAGGTCAGTGGGAGGGTCCCAAGAGGAAGCCTGCAGCCCGGGGACTCAGGCCAGTGCTGGACCCGGGCCTGGGAAGCATCAAGGTGAGGCTGGGGTTGGCTGTCTGGATGGCCAAGCAGGAGAGGGCAGACTGGGGATGGCCTGCAATGCCTCCTCTGTCAAACTGGGGCTGCAGCAATGCTTCCCTGGACCAGCAGTGGGCCCAGCGGAAGCCCAGCCTGGAGCTGTCCTAAAGGAACTCCGCGGGGACAGCCTCCAGGAGGGTGATGGGTCCCAACAAGAATGGACGGCCCGGAATTGAGGTCGCAGAAAAGGTGAGGAGGTGTCCTAGCCTGAGGAGGTGTCACCTGTGAGGTGGAAGCCGCAGGTGAGAAAGTGCCCCTGATGGGCGCAGGGAGGGCATCTCTGACACCTGGCAAGTCCAGAGGGGCCACAGCAGGTCCCAACAGAAGTGAGCTGGTGGGGAAGCACAGGTCCAGAAACACAGATGCAGCAGCCTGGCCCTGCTTCCCACAGCAGGCTCAGGAGGCAAAGCTGGCTTTACGAATTTTTTTTTTTTTGCGCTACACGGGCCTCTCACTGTTGTGGCCTCTCCCGCTGCGGAGGACAGGCTCCGGACGCACAGGCTCAGTGGCCATGGCTCACGGGCCCAGCCGCTCCGCGGCACGTGGGATCCTCCCGGACCGGGGCACGAACCTGCGTCCCCTGCGTTGGCAGGCGGACTCTCAGCCACTGCGCCACCAGGGAAGCCCTGACTTTACGAATTTTGACAGTCACTCAGGACTGGGCATTTTAATAAGTGAAATAATGAATAATTTTGTGACTAAAGGTGACCAAAGGATTTTTTTATTATCTGAGAGAGATCAGAAAAGTTCTGGAACTTGCCCTAGGTTTTCTTCATCTGGTAGGAAGAACCAGCCCTATAGGGTGAGCCTGACAGGCTCTGGGAGAAAGAAAATGGTACCCTCTCCACTTAGCTATCGTTTCTCACTCTCTATGTGCGCATCCACGGGTATTTTAAATTTTTTTAAAGAAATAAGTTGGCAGAAGAAAGCACCCACTACTTTCAAGACAGTAGCTCAAACTATGAATGCACAAGAACCTGTGTGTACGGATTTTCAAACAATCCGTAGCTGGTGGCAAAAGTGCAGCCTTGATAAGAGGTAATGAAATATCCCCGACAAAACGGAAGGATTTCCAAACCAAAGGATGGAACGAAGCCGTCAAGCTCAGTGCCTTTGTTTTATAGACAGCAGTCTGGGGCCCAGGGGTGCAGTGGCCCAGCTGTTTTATGCAGAGCCCAGTCTAGAATTCAGATGCCCCAAATTTGAGAAGAGCAGCCTTTTCACTCTGCCAGCTGGGGTGACAGAAGCGCGCAAAAGGAAACCAGTTCCTGCAGAAAGTTACCGGACCTCCTGTCCCAAGGGTGGAGGAGACAAGTCACCAAGAGCAGAACCAGAGGTGGCAGTGCTGAGAGGGTGCTGAGAAATGAGAGGACAGCTGGTGGCCCAGACGAGTGTCTATACTCAACTCATGACTGCCAAGGACCGGAAGGCTGTCACTCTTCAGCAGGACGTAAGAAGAATAACTCAGTTATATTTGCAAGACACTTTTGACTGTACAGAGCATAACGTCCTAGGCTACGCCAAAGTCAAATAGCAAAACGTTACGTCAGTTGCAAGTATAGTTAAGCATTGAATGGGAAGAGAATGAGGCCTGCAAGGCACATGCACAAGGATTTCTAACTGGGTCTGAAAGCTCTTGAAAGCCAGATCTTCGGAGAACGCAACATAAAAAGTAGGGAATTCAATGGAGGCAAGTCTCTTTATACACATGGAGTGCTCCTGAAATAGCAGATGTAAACAGAACCATTTTCCAAATGCATTAGGAGGGCTTGCTAATGATAGGAATCCTTTTGTTAAATGATGAATCATAATCTTGCTGACATCGTTTGACAGCTGTAGAGTAGGTCTGCTCTGCGTGAAGAATCTTTAGAGCAGGCTCAGACTAGTGCTTAATCTGGCCTAGAATTCTGCCCCTGAGACTCCCAAAGTAGGGTCTGTGGGAGGCCAGAGCCCTTTCTAGAAGGTTATCAAGCTGGACAGGCTGGCCTGTGTTCTAGTTCTGGTTCCACTGCTCATTAGCTGGGCAACCAGGGAAAGCAACACAGTCTTTCTGAGTCTGTTTGTCATCAGTAAGATACGGATAGCAGCAGGACTGCTGGAAGCCTAAATAGATAATGTGTGCAAGACACTTAGCACACAGTAGGTGCTCAACAAACCTCAGTTCCCTTCCCCTCACCTTCCTGCAAGGGAAGCCATCCCTATGGATCTTCCCTGAACTCACTTTTATTTAATACTGTCCAACTTCTTGCAGTAATAAACAATGCATTTTAAACTTTTAACTGCTGTTTAAAGAAATGCTCTTAAATTTTTTGGTGCGAAAATGCCAAATATTGAGGGGTGTTAGAAAGTCAAAGAGAAACCACAAAGACCTCGAATAGCCAAAGTAATCCTGAAAGAGAACAAAGTTGGAGGCATCACATTTTTTTATTTCAAACCCTATCACAAAGCTATAATAATCAAAACAATACGGTCCTGGCATAAAAACAGACACGAAGACCAATGGAACAGAATTGAGAGCCCAGAAATAATTGCCCCACATATATGGTCATCTAATATTTGACAGTGGAGTCAGGAATACTCAATGGAGAAAAGATAATCTCTCCAATAAATGGTGCTGGGAAAACTGGATATTCACATGCAAAAGGATGACACTGGATTCCTATTTTACACCTCCCAGAAATTAACTCAAAATGGATTAAACAGTTGAACTTAAGACCTGAAACCAAAAAAACTCCTAGAAGAAAACATTGGGAAAAAGATCCTTGTCAGTAGTTTTGGCAATAATTTTATGAATATGACAACAAAAGCACAAGCAACAAAAGCATAAATCAATAAGTGGGACTACACCAACCAGAAAGCTTCTGCACAGCAAAGGAAACCATCAACAAAATGAAAAGGCAACCTGCAGAATGAGAGAAAATATTTGCAAACCACACATCTGATAAGGGGTTGATATCCAAAACATACAAGGAATTTGTGCAACTCAACAGCAAAAACACAAATACTCTGATTAAAAAATGGGCAAAGGGCGAATAACAGATATTTTTACAAAGAAGATATTCGAACGGCCAACAAGTACATGAAAAGGTACTCATAATTATTAACCGTCAGGGAAATGCAAATCAACCACAATGAGGTATCACCTCACACCTGTGAGGATGGCTATCATCAAAAAGACAAGAGGTAAGTGTTGGTAAGGATGTGGAGAAAAGGGAACCCTTGTGCACTGTTGGTGGGTATGAAAATTGGTGCAGCCACTATGGAAAACAGTATGGAGGTTCCTCAAAAATTAAAAATAGAGCTGCCATATGATCCGGCAATCCCACTTCTGAGTATGTAACCAAAAGAAACGAAATCACTTCCTTGGAGAGATAGCTGCATCCCCATCTTCACTGCCAAGAGAATAGTCATGACAGTAGTCAAGACATGGAAACAACCTGAGTGTACACTGATGAATGAATGGATAAAGACAATGTGGTACACACACACACACATGAATACTATTCAGCCATAAAAAAGATGGAAATCCTGCCACTTGTGACAACGTGGATGAACCCTGAGGATATTATGTTAGGTGAAATAAGCCAGCCGAGAAAGATAAATATTGTTATGTTCTCACTTATGTGTGGAATCTAACAAAAAACAAACTCAGAAACAGAGAGTAGACTGGTGGTTGCCAGGGGCGGTGGGGACGGGGGTGGGAGAAACGGGTGAAAGTGGTCAAAGGGTACAAAACCTCCAGTTTTAAAATGAGTATGTTCTGGGGACGGAATTATAAAGAAAAAAGAAAGTCAAATGGCCATGTAGGTATCTCCTTTAGGTCTGCAGGAAAATTATGGCTGCATTTAGAAAGAGAGGAGGAGGTGGGCTTGGTGTCAGGACTTGGCTGCGTCTCAAATGGCATTTTGTTATACCTCCTTTTTAATTACAGCTTTCTTAACCGAGCTGCCGGGTGGTGCTTTTGTTGGCATCAACTCAGGGGGGGACTAGTTAACTTGCACAGTTAATACCAAGTGCTTAACTGCAGCCTCGTCAGACATCATTTATACCCTCCCGTTTCAATCGTGTAGTGGCAAACACCTAACCAGAGTTTAAACATGCAGCCCAGTGGCCTTTGGTGATGGAAGTGTTGGGAGTGGGTGTTAATTTCTGAGTTCCGTCAAGAGTTCCAGGGAACGTGGGATATTGGGGTAAGGAGGCAACTTCATAAATGTGAATGGAGGAGGGGGGAATAGGAAGATACTGTTTGTGGTGGGAGGTACAGCTTACTGCTTTGCTCAAAGGTGTCCTGCATAAGAGATGGGCAACCCTCTATACAGTAAAAGCCTGCTAATTGGAACTTCACTAATTTAGCATTTGTGATCGTTGCACCAGAGGCAAAACTGACATTTATCTCTGCACAATCTAGCAATACAAGGATTTAGTGAGTAATAATAGTGTAAATGAGATTACTAGAGGGAATATTTATATTTAAAAAAGCTAACATTGACTGAGCATTTACTATGCCTCAGACTTCGTGCTAAGTGCTTTTATATTCACCATCTGACTTAATTCCCATATTTATTACTCAATGAGGGATATATTTTACTATCCCCACTTTATAGGTGAGGAACCTGAGGCACCAACAGGTTAAGTAACACACGGAGCGGCCCACAGCTAGTCCCGCTATTCACCATCGGAGGTCAGAGCACCTGCCTGCACTCGCTACTTTCCCTAAGGAAGCATGCCGCTTTGAGGGGGTTTAAGAAATTCACATCCATAGGGCAACTGAATAGCAGCATTTGTCAAATTTCACAGATGCGACAACAAGGGTGCCTGTAGCTTAAGGAGAGTTTGAGTAGAAAACGACCTCAGGGCTGTTTATTAAGTAGCCCACTGACTCTCTGGGAGGACCAAGGAATCAGTCGGGGCCGGAGGCCACAAGGCCAGGAATGAAGTCCAAGTTACCACCATGGACGTTTCAGGCTGTGCCAGACATGGCAAGTCTCCCCGGCAACCCCGGGAAGGGGCACTGCAGCTGGCACCTTGGTCCCTGCTGGCTCTGAAGTGGGCGTTTCTGGGCGGCTCCCGCAGGGGGGTGTCTTGACCCCCTTCCATAGTAGCACACGAGTGTTTCTGATTGGTGTAGCCTGGGTCACGTGCCTGCACCCTGGCTGCAGGGAGGCTGGGACCTCAGAACTCCCCACGTAGGAGGGAGCTTCCCACAATACTGTGAACATGCCCAAATCATGATTATCGGGTACTGAAGGGGCCGGGAACAAATCCCTCTGACCGTCCCCCTTCCCAAGGGCTCTTGCTGAATATACCAGAGACACTCTATGGCCTGGTGTCACCCTGGGGCTGCGGCACGGTGGGGGCAGGGAGCACGGGAACCAGAAGTCAGGGATCCTGATCCTGGCTCAACCCTTCGTGAGTCAACGTGACTCACGGGCCAGTCACTTCACCCCAACACAAAGCGGGGAATGGGGGCCAGCTCCTGGATCATGGGGCTGATTTTGAGAGTCTATGAAATAATGTGGCAACAACACTGTAACCCAAGATGTCTCATGCCAACATCAAGCGTCACTGTAGCTGAACACGATACACCTGTGTTTCTTCCTAATTGAGATGCAGCTTTTCCCAGGGCCGGCTGGCTGGCTGATCTGCTTGTTTGTAACCCACGAGTGACTCCTGCTATACTGAGAGAGATCTTGGGCTAAGGGTGTAAACACCAGCTCCAGATTAGGCTCTGCATATGGTGGACTAACAGCTCCATGCGTGTGAGGTCATGTGAGAAACCGCTTCCTGCCGAGGTCTGCTCCAGACTTGGCTACGGTGCAGGCGGAAATACTTACCACGGATGTTTCAAAACATTCCAGGCCTTGGCCCAGTGCCCATGCCCGGGTCTGGGCCGACTCCACCACTCGCCTGCTGGCCAGGTCTGTCTTGTTCCCCACCAGTACACCTACTCGAGAGAAACAATCGGAGCATCGCATTTAACCGTGGCCGTCTGGGAGGACAGCTGGAGAGATAAAAGAGCAAGCAGCCTAATTCTGAGGTGTGTAAAACCTCATCTGAGAGAGGCTCCCTGATCCGAGGTGACGAGCACGACCGGAGACCCCGCACTGGCCCCCGAGGGCCGCAGCGGAGCGGGAGGCCGGCACTTGGCACCTGCAGCTTTCGCTCAGCCCCTCTGCTAGACCTCCTGGGTACCTGTCCGCCTCCTCTCCCTAAGGCTGCAAACCGTGAAGGCGAGGACCAAACTGATGTGAGCATTTGCGATCATTTCTAGCACATGGAGCAAACTTTCAAAACGGTCATTAACACTAATCTGAGGGCTGGGCTCAGAGTCAGGCATTCAGAGGTAATTTGGCTCTGTTGCCAGCTGCATCCGCTGCGGCTAATTTTTGAGCCTGTCTCTGGAGATCGCTTTCCCTGGTCTCTAATGAGGAGAATTTGTTGATCTCACATAGGGATGAAAAATAAACTGATTGAGAGCATTCAGAAGTGAAAACGGGCCTTGCATGTTTACTGGTGCCCCACATACAGGAGAAAATGAGGACTGCTTCCCTGGGGTTAGCTTTCCGGAAATAACGACTCATATTCCTATCACAGCACCTTCCACCTTATTATCTTGAGTCACCCCATAACCCTGCCGGGGGTGGGGGGCGTCAGCAGGCCCATTTTACAGACTCACAGAGGTGGGGCAACTCACTGAGGTTTCCGTGGTTGCTGAGGCAGAGCCAGGGTACGGTCTAGACCATCACACTCAAAGACCAGGGCACCCTTTTTCTGCACCCACAGCCATTTCTGCAGTGACCTTGTGCTCTTGAACTTGAAGGTCAGAGGTGCTGCTGGGAACCCCGGATGCCTGCAGTTCGTACCTGGGAGGGTGGCGCCTGGCATCTGTGACCGAGCCTTCTCCAGCCACTTGCTGCAGCTGGTGAAGGACTGCTCGTTGGTCACGTCGTAGACGAGACACAAGACGTTGGGACTCTCCCACTGTGCAAGGGGGACAGGATGGGGACACGTCACTGACAGCGAAAGTGACTCCTAGACTGGGGAGGAAATGTGGCCTTCTAAGGGAAGGGACACATGGGCAGAGGGAAGTGAAAAATTCTAAAGGGGATGTGAATCAGAAAACCGAGCCACATCCACAGAAGAAAACGATTCACCCACAGGAATGAATGGGAGGGCTGGGCGAAGTGGCGGGGAAGGCCTAGGTCTGGGATGGTGACGGTGAGGGTGAGAGCTCGCATCCGATCGTGAAACCTCCCAACTTTGCAGGGCTGGTCTGAAGATCCCTACTGTGTAGCTGAAGAAACTGAGTTCAGAGAGGGTAACTGACTTGCCCAAGTCACACAGGCTTTAAACACCAGGGTGCGGCCGAGGCTTTTCTCTACCCAGAAATGCTTTGCCTGCCCCGGTTCCATTAACTCATTCTTCTACTCATTCTCATAGAGGGCCCACTATTACGCAAGGTGATATGTTTTCTGCTTCGCAGGCCTGAAAGAGCATCCTTTCTTTGTTAGCCACTCACTGGAAGCTGGTTTGCTTACATTTTCCTAAGGGCCGGCTTTTCAAAAGACAAAGGACACTTTCTGCTTCTCCTGCAGCGTATCAGCCCTAATCCAAACCAGACCAGCAACTGGACAGGGTTCGCTGTCCCAGTTAAGAACCAGTGCTATGCTCTCAGGGGCTGGCGCCTTCAGGGGCTGCTCAGACCCCTGGGCCATCCTGCTGCCTGGCACGGGGCCGCGGGGCAGCCCTGCTTAGGCTGTGAGGTTAGTCCTGGTGCGTGTGACTCTTGGCGATGCCCCGGTCTCTGGGGACCCCCATCCTGCACAATTAGAGGCTGGTTCATCTCTGGGGTGTTGTCACCTCCCAGGGTGTGAGGGAGAATCCTTTTCCCTCCAGCTGTCCTTGGAAGGCCAGCCCAGAACTGGCTCTGGAGGCCTCACCCTCCTGCCCCTGAGGCTCCCCTCCTGGAGGTGCCCAGGATGGGAGGAGCTTGGATTAAATTGATGATCCCTTCACACCTTCACTCCACAGACTACAGAGCTCTAGCTAGAGTCACACTGACCACCCCTGTGCACATGCAGGAGAGACCTCCTTCCTCCAGGCCCCAGTGAGGGGACCCAGCATGGGCAGCGTGGGACCCTGACTTGTCCAGACACATCATCTCTTCCGCTGGGCAGCGCCGGACAGTGTACAAGGGAGCCGCGTGGGAAAACACCAAGAACTGATGTGTGAGGCCAGCCCTGTGTGAAATTACCATCATTAGATCTATTTCTCTTAGGCGAAAAAACAGGGTGGCAGTTTCTATTAAAATCTAGCTGTTCTTGGAAAGGCAGGGGAGGGCTCTGGAGATCGCAAACCTTCTAAGTAGCTCACTGGCCCACATTAGCGGAACCGCTACCTTGGAAGGTACAGCAAGCTGGATCCTAAGAGGAAGGCTGGGCGGGCTGGATGAGCCCGGGGTGGCAGCAGGGGCAGGTCCCAGAGCAATCCTAGGTGGGACCAGGGGGTGGGCTGGGAAGGTAAGCCTCACTGTGGGGCCTCTAGGGCACCCCCTAGCGGGGAAGGAAATCTTTGCTCCAGACCCAAGAGGTGGAGGAGGGCTGAAAGAACACCCCCAGGAGGGGGTTGCTCCAGAGAAGGGAGGCCCCGGAGTGGGGGGCTGCGAGGACCGAGGTGCACAACTCTGGTGCATTGGGAGTCAGCCATTCCAGGGCCGGGGGGAAGCAATCACGAATCACATGCAAGAGCTGCTCCTACCTGCCAAGGGGCCACCAACCCCAAGGCTGGGAGGAATGCCCCTTACAGGATGTTGCCATGGTAGCTTCTCCTGGTGGCTGTAGTGAAGTGAAATTTCTGTGAGGGCATTGTTAAGGGGCAAACCTTTGGCGGGAGGTGGTGGTGATAGGAAAAAGACTGAATGCTACTTGCCAATTTATCCAGCATTTCAGAAAACAGCTCCTTGCCGGCCGAGTCAAGAATGAAGAGTTCCTGGAATCATAAAGACAGGTCCCAGGAAAGCCTACACATGGGGAAACCCCTGTCTGCAAATCCCCGCTAGGACTCCCGGTGCACCTTCAGGGTGACACACGCATGCGCACGTGCACACACATTTGTCTTTTGTCCAAGGCACGAGGAAGACGGTGGGAGGAGGAACAACGGTTTCCCACCCCAACTGGCTCTTTCTGGGCGGCATCTCACCCCTCCTAACCCCGAGTGCAAAAATACCAGGAACAAGCCGACTTCCCACCTGGCAGAACAGAATGCTAGACAGGCTGACAAGTGCTCTGTTTTCCAAAAGGTCATTCTGCACTTTGTTAACGAAATTGATTTTCAAATCTTAAAACGATCCTTTTTAAAGGAGGTCACCGAGGAGGCCTGGGGAAGGCATTTAAAGTAGGACAGTCTGTCATGGTTCTGGGTGGCTGAGGTGTGATTCTAGCAGAGGGCGCAGGATGACCCTTCCTGCCCGTGTCCGAACCTTCACCGGCCCAGGTGAGAGCCCCTCCCCAATGCTGCCATTCCAGGAAGTCTCCCCTAAGTTCCCCGTTAATTTCCTGCTGGCTCGGGCCTCTGGCACATGCTGTCTGAAGGTCAGCGACCTCCTTTGCTTTGCTCATTGGTTGTCGGTGCACTCATCTTATCCCTTCTCACTGTATCCGGGGTACTTAAAATTGCTTTTTGCTCATGGACCTCTTTAAGAATCTAGCAATTCTTAAGGCTTCTCTCCAGAAAAGCACATGCAAACCTAGCATCTTGCAATTCAATTTCAAGGGTCGAGGCTTCCCACAGAGGGACCCAGGTTAGGAACCTCAATACTCGGTAAGTTCTGAGGGTAAGACCCAGAGCCCAGTCTTCCTCATGTCTTCTTCCTCATCCCTTCCATACAATGCTTCCCGTGTTCCCCCCAGCCTGTTCCTGAATGCTCAGACAAGTCTAGGCCAAGTCCTGGCACTTTTAGGTAGCTAGTCAGACATGAGTGGGTCTTGCCCCATCCTGGACGGGGTCATCTTTCCCTCCCCAACCTGGACACTAGTGATCAGAACCCACCCAGAGATCCTCCCTCTTCTAGTCAAGGACCACCAGCCTTATCAGGACCAAGCAAGATAAACCTACCAGCACAGGTCGGTGCAGGTGCACCAAGACCTAAAAGGTGCTCAAGGTAACCTGGGGTTCATTATGCCGTATTTGTAATACATTAGCATTGCGGTTTGGGTGCTCGTGCGCAAGCGCCTGTGCACTAGGAGAAAAGTTACGGGACCTAAAGCTGTCAATCAACTTGTCAGTCAAATGACGCAGGACACAGGGAGGGACCACCACTCTCAAAAGCCCAACCCTACCCCACTGCGGGCTGCTTCTGGTTTCCAGACAGCCCACTCTCATTCGTTCTTGGGAGTGCACTCTTGCTCTGCTTAAGAAAACTCTTAGTACTTAAAACCATTCTATGTCTCTTGACTGAAATCTCTCCCTTGAGAAGGCAAGAACTGAGGAAATCGCTGTCCCCCTGGTGACAGCACTGCCTCGCTCCGTGACCACGGAGCCCTCGGGCGCAGCTGGGGCAGCATTGAGCCCCCTTGGGGCGAGGGCACCACTCACCACACTGTCCCCTGTGTCAGGGACTGGCACCGTCTTCACCACCAGATCCACCCCTGTTGTCTGTGGAGGAAAAGGGAGAACACGCACGTCAGGGGTCCCAAGGGGACGCATGTCTCCGGCTCAAGTATCTGTGCTCTGGACTCACTTCTGGTGTGGAAGTCAGAGAGGCCCTAGTCTCGTCCAACTCCCTGCCCACGAGCGAGCTGTACACGGTGACCAGCCAACCACTGGCCAGTCTGCTCCACACACTGCCCCGTGCCCCGTGGCTTGTGGCCATACGGTCAGGCCTCTTAGGGCTTCTTAAGGACATTTGGAAAGTCACTGCCCCAGGGTTATCTGATCACTTGTGTTTAAGCCTCCGCCAGGCCTATGATGCCCACATCTCACCAGGGTGTAGTTCTTCTGGAAATGGGCTCCGTCGCTGCGGAAGATCTGGGCCAGGGCGGTCTTGCCCACGGTTGGGTCTCCTGTGAGGTCAGAGTAGAAGAAAAACACCGCTTTCATCCCAAGCTGACTAGAGGCTCTCCCATTCTAGAATGCTGGTCTAGAAACCGAAAACCTCAATGAGTTCTCAGGGAAAAGGTGATTGAGTCTCATGGGAACTTGCTCCGGGGTCGCTGGTAGGGCAGCGGGTCCGTGAGACCGATCTTCCAAACCCATGATGGCCAGTCTCTTTTCTTCCGGGCTAATCCTTTCATCTACAAAAACCCACCCAGAAGGTAACAGAGCTGAAGGAGAGCTTCTGAGCATTGGAAATAGAACTGACACTCTTCCACTGAAACACACCCGACGGGGAAAACCTGTCCCTTTCAAACTTGAAATTACTTTGAAGTCTTGAAGGTAAGGAAGTGTGACCAGGTACAGACTTACAGGTTCAGCTCTCTAATGGAACCACTTTGAGTTTACAGCGTCCATCCTGAGAATCCTGCATACTTTTCTGGGGTGGGGGGGAGAGGGTGAGAGTTGGGTGGGTTTCTACATTTAGGAGAAACAAAACGTCAGGGGCTACATTTGCCATCCTGAAGCCCATTTCCAAGTGACATTTTCCACCTCCACCTCCTGGTAACCCATCTGCGACCACTGCGGGCCCATCTTCCCAGGGCCTCTCCTCTATCGGCAACAGCCACTGGTTCCTCTAAGCCCGTCTCATACCTACCGGCTCCATCTTCTCGGCTTTCCTTTGTTAGTGGAGAGCCCCATAAACTGGTACCTGGAAACTAAAGATCTATGTCACAGTTTCAAGTCTGAGACCTGGACCTTTCACAAGGTGGTCAGGGGCAATTTATTCTGGAGTTCCTCCCGGGCCCCCAAGGGTGCTGGAGGCTCTCCGTGCCCATCCTTAATTCTCCTGCACCCTCCCCACGTCCCCACCAGTGGCTCTGCGTGGCTTCCTTTGATACCACACTGTGTTCACCTGCAAGACCTTTCCCACCTTGAGAGTCTCACACTGATTCTCCCTCCATCACCCCGCGCCCTGGCAGAACACCTGTCTGCTGCTTTCTCACCCCCTTGATCCTCAGCAAAACCACCACGCTCGCATCCTTCTGCCTTGCATCCCTTGATGCAATCGTCTCACCTTCACCCCGTTTTACAGGCGGCTTCAACTCGCCTCTTTACTTGACTCCTCGATAGCCTGCCGCCCTGTTCACTTTTCAGTTTTGACTTTTCTCACCTATAATTTTCTCTTGGGAGACAATTATTTGCCTACTCGTGGCATTTCATTTCACATTAACTCCTCCAGGACTGAGTGAGCTAGTCATGTCTTGCTTTTCTCTTTGCCACCATTTCTTAGAAGGGAACCAACACGGGTTGAGCCTGTCATGGACCCATTCATACAATCTCATTCGCTCCTTCCCAGCCCCCAGGTCCCAGCCTCCACCCCCCGCCGGGGACTATCATTAACCTCATTTGACAAATGAAGATACTGAGGCTCAGAGAAGCTGGGTAACCTGCCTAGGATTCCAACATCGCCCTCTCTCCGCCAGATTCCACTCCTCTCCTAGAGCTCAGGGACCCTTCTGACCCATTTCTAACACTGCCCCTGCAGGTCTTCATCCCCGCAGCCTTCTGGGACACTGGGGGGGACCGTGGGCTGGACTTTCACTGGGTACCCATCCATCTCAGGGCAAACAGAGCACATCTTGTGCAATGACTGCATCCACCCTCCCGACTTCAATTTTGCTTCTGAATCCGGTTGGAAATTGGCTCTTCCCGCTTGTGAAATTCCCCACAGATTTGTTCTGGTTAATTTCATAACTCTTGCTTCCCACTGTCAGTCAGAGTCACCCACACTTCTGGAAAACCTCCTGTGTCGGCTGAGGAGGGATCCGAGTGAGCCCAGGAAGGCGAGACCACTGATAAAACGCATTTGCAGGGCAACAAAATGACAAGTGCAAATTCAAATAGCACAAGCTGAGAATCAAGGCATCTGAGGGTGCAGGGAGGAGAGAAGCTGATGAGGGGTTTCATCAGCGGGGAGGACTTCCCTGGAGGAGGCTGAGCCCAGGGGTGACGGCGGGGGGTGGGTGCACTGCTTGATGGAGAGGGTGCCATCTGCAAGGGCACGATGCAAGGTCACCTGCGACCTCATAATCGCCAAGTCCAGTGGTTTTTCCTCAGTTCTCATGCTCCCCAATGCCTCTGAAGGATGAATCGGCTTGAAGCAGCATCCCGCCCCCGGCAGCCCTCTGGCCCCGGGGACCCTGCACCGGCCTGGTCCTCCGGCTGCTCTGCCTGCCTCCCAGATGTGGACACTCCTGTGGGCCTGTCCTTGGTCCTCTGTTCCCACCTACTCGGTCCCACTTACTCTCGTTACCTCGACTGTCACTTCTCGTGCCAGGATCCCTCTCCCAAGCTTTGCGTTTCCCACACCCTGTGGGTGTTTCCACTGGAATGTCAGGCCTTCCACCGGATCTCAGTGCCTACAGCCAGGCTGGGTCCCGAGCGGTCTCGCCCATTTATCTTACTTGTTCTCTTCACCACTCTCGATGTCCCCAGACTTCACCCACGGTCACCTCTGAAGGCTCCTTTTCCTTCCTCCCAAGTCCAGTCAGCCTCTTCTTTCCTTACATCATTCTCTGTGTCTCCAGCCCACATCTCCTTTGTTGTCATGACCAACACTGCCCTAGTTACCTCAAGCTTCAACCTGGGCTCCTGTCTCAGCCCCGAACCCACCCATCCATGCTCTGCCTTGTGATGCTGGAGCTGGGACTCTGCACACGTTTCTCTTTTGCCAGGGATTTCCCATCAGGCTCTGCCGATGTGAGTTCAAGAGTAAGGCTGGAAGGCTGGGGGCGGGGTGGGGGGGACTTGCTCCTTCCCCTTGGCTTTGCTGTTTCTCTTAGTGTTATCCTACTGACGGCCTTGACCCAGCAGCAAAGGTTAGTCGCTGCCTCCAACTGGGTTTTATGTTTTTGCACTTCTGGACCAGCCTCACAGATACCAGCGTCAGTGGGCAGCATCCCCTTCTCAGAGATCTGCGGCTCAGCTCCCAGCACCCTCCTGCACTTTGAGGTTCTGACAACCTGCCCTCTTCCCTCTCGTCCCGCAGCCCTGGGATGAGGCTCCTTCCTGCAGTTACTCTCCGTGCTGCCTTACTGTCCCCTTTTGTCTTTCCAGTCCTCCAGTACCTGTTTAATGAACACCCCACACTAAATCCTCACTGTCGAGATACCTGTGTAGTTTCAGCTTTTTGCCTGGACCCTGCCTCGTGTAGCACTTGGTACCAGGAGTGGCCTCAAGACACAGACCCTCAGGATGGTCTGGAATTGGTTTGGCGGTTTCTCACCCTAAACATGGGGCTGAGCTCCTGGCCAGTGGGCAATGGGTCCTAGTGATGGGTGGCACGTGCTGGCATCACACACTGGGTACCACCCCAGCCAGGCAGTGCCCCCTCCTCAGAGGTCTGGATCCCAGCTCAGGGTTGGGGGAGGTTCTTCTTCAAGCTTCTGACGACTCTGACCGCCACCCACCAATTCTGTGTCATCACAACGTTGTCTTCCGGCTTTTTCAGTTCTCTGACACACGCTGAACCAATTCCATATATTAAACTCTCTGTTGAAATGCCTAATGTATTTTCTGTTTTCTTGACTAGGTCTGGACTGAAAACATCGCCCAACTGGCCCTCTCTCCTTTTTGTTTTTCTCCCTGCTCTAACCCACCCTGAGCTTGGCATCAACAGACATATCTTCATAAAACAGTGCTCTCCTCCGGTGACGCTCTCACAGAGCCTGTCAAAGGATTCTTTCCGCTGTACGCCCCTCCCCACCTTCCAACTCTGTCTCTGACTATCCCTTACACAAAATCTGGGCTCTACAGTCCTATTCTCTTGATCCCTGAAAATTCCTCGAAGATAACCTCCTTTCAGGTCACCCTAATCCAAATCCTAATCCTGCCCAGCCTCTGAAGGTCGTTTCTCACTCCTTTGTCTTTACCTGTGTGGCTAGTGCAGCTCACTGCTGGTGGCATGAGACTTGACATCAGAGCAGCCCTCCAGGGAGTCAGGTTTATCATCCCCACGTATGTCAAGAGGCAGTAAGTACAGCATGGTACTCAGGGCACAGACTACAGCTCCATCGCTTACAAGCTGTATGACCTTGGGTCAGTAATCTCTCTGGGCCTCAGTTTGCCACATCTACAAGATGGGGATAACAGCTTCTATCTCATAGAATTGTTATGAGGATTTAATGAGTTAACATGTACAGTGCCTGATATATATTAAGTAATATTTACGTGATTTGGAAGCACAAAATATAGATAAATGTTAAGTGTTGTTTTCTCTTCATCTGAATCAGAACAACTGGCAGCTGTGCCTTGAGGTATTTCTCTGGGATCAAAGGGCATTCGATTCCTGTTTCTTGCATTATAAGCTATTATGCACAACTCAGCACTTCCTTGAGTGCGGGGGCTGGCCGGGTTCACCCTTGTGCTCCCAGTGCACCTTGCGTGGCAACTCACACATACTAGGTGCTCAGTAAATATGTGGACTGAATAAGCACTTGAATTATCAGGTCCCTCGGTGACTAGTTATGTGAGAGAAAAAAGGCAGATTGACTCCATTTTAAACAGTCGGGGGACTTCCCTGGTGGCGCAGCGGTTAAGAGTTGCGCTCCAGATGCAGGGGGCCCAGGTTGAATCCCTGGTCAGGGAACTAGATGCCACATGCATGCCGCAACCAAGAATTCGCATGCCACAACTAAGGAGCCAGTGATACACAACTAAGGAGCACACGTGCCGCAACTAAGGAGCCCACAAGCCGCAACTAAGAAGCACACCTGCTGCCACTAAGACCTGGCACAACCAAATAAATAAATTAAATAAATATTTTTTAAAATGTGGTGTTTGTTTTAAAAAATAAGATAAAATAAAGAGTTGGCCAGTGAGGGGGCCTGTGTGGCGAGGGTGGGGTGAAGAACGAGGTTTTGATGGGTGGTGGAGGTAGGGCTGTGTGCAGTGATTCATTCTGCTGAGGTCTTTTGGCCCCTGAAAACTTCCAAGAGGAGATAGATACCCTTGAGGCCTCAAAAGGAGGCTTCAGATTGAGGGCTAGGTTGGAGTTCAGGAATGACTTCCTAGGCAGTGGATGAAATCAGGTAAAACTAGTACCTGAGGGTGTGGGTATAAAGAAGGGCAAGGAGTCTCGAGTTGAGGCCTGAGGATGGTAGAGTGTGGGGCTAAGAACAAAGCTCTGGAAATCAGATCACCTGAATCTAGATCCCAGCTCAGCCAAATCCAGCTGTGTGACCCAGGGCAAGTGTCCTAACCTCTCTGGGTCTCAGCTGCCCCATCTGTAGAGGAGAATGACAATAATCCTGACCACATAGGGTTGTTGAGATGACCCGTGGTGAGGGTCTAGCACAGTGCTGACACATAGATGGTGCTCAGTAATTTAGCCTCGTGATGGGGGTTGATTTAAAAGAGAAATAGGAGAAAGAATAGTCAGAGAGAGAGGCCCATTTAGGAAAAAAAATCTAACTTCAGAGAAAAACGATCCCACCTTATCCACGAGGAAACTGAGGCTCAGAAAAGTGCTTTGTCCAAGAGGACACAGCCAATCTGAGGAACAGCAGAATTAATTTTGTTACACAATACTGCCCCCACTGGTGCTCTGGAAACTAGAGACTGCTCTTGAGAACCATTAATTTCTTTTGCTCAGTATGATATGATTGACTATGGTCAGTCAACTTTCTGTGTGACCCTTTTATTTCCAAATTGGAAAAGTCATTAAAAATACCATCCTTTTTGGTCTGGAAGAGAGGAATCAAAAAAAGGGATCTCTTTTTCCTCCGCATAATTTCTCACTGCTTCTTTCCTGAACTGGTCAGACAAACCCAGAAAGGTCACAGGTTTCAACAGTAACACAAGTTAAGAATTTTGGAGGTAGGAAGTTAGGAATTTTAGGCCGATCTCGGGGTTGAAATCCTGCCTATGACCTTCCTTCGCTAGGGGGTGACCTTGGGCAAGAGACTTCACCTCAGTGCCTCAGTAGAGTCAGAACAATCCGGCACTTACCCCAGGGTGCTACCTACTGTGACAGGATTAAATGAAATGCACGAGCCTGACAAGCAGTAAGGACTCAGGAAAGTACATCTGTGCTCTGTGGTCCCAGGTCCATAATCCAGGCAAATGTTTTTCTAAATGAGCAGTGTGCATGCCACACAGGCATTCATTCTACAAATATTTATTGAGTACTTACTATGTTCTACATATATGTTCTGGGTGCTTGGGATGTATCAGTCAGCAAAACAAAGATTCCCACTTTTGGGGGATTCAACACTTATGTCCTCCTGACCATGAGACAGCACTGTAACTTTGGATCTTAAGTCAACACACATAGCTTTTTGTAAACTCTGGTCAACTGTACATTACTGTCTCCTATCCCTGTTTGCATAAGACTGGGGTCAGGAGAAAAATCCCGTAAGTAAAGACCACCAAAGTCACTGATGCCTAACTTTGGGGTACAGCACCTGGTTTAGTTGAAGCACTTATGGCGTGCTTAGCCTCATTTTCTTAACACGTCTACTCCTCCTGAGTACGGCTCTAATTGGTGACGGTGGTCTCAGGGTATGACAGGGAGTGAAGGAAGCCACCTGGAGCTACAAATGTGCTCTGGAAGATAATTCTTCCACACCTAATGAAATTTACTCTATCAGTAATTGCATTAACTCGCCTTTGCGAGACAGAAAGGGAAAGAGGGTAGACAATTTACGTGAACAAAAGCTCTCGACAATTTATGAAGTCTCTGGACTCCGGAGACTGTATTCACCCGCAAGTTTTCAGACTCACCTGCCAGGATGCATTTGGCTGCCAGCTTCACCATGGTAACCAACCACCTCCACGGACCAGACAGAAGAGCGGCTGCTGGAGGCGTTGGTGGCCCTGCCTGGGAAGGGGAGTGGGGAGGGCTAGCGCTCAAGGGGCCTGTGGCCGCGGTGGGGACAAGGACAATGGGGCCTGGACCCTCCGGACAGCCCGCGGGGAGGATATCGGGCGCTAGGGTCGCAGTGGGGCTCACAGGAGCGCCAGATGGGGCCAGGTTCAAGGCCTCAGAAGGCAGCCTGGAAGGTGCCAGCGAGGCGATGCGGCTCTCGTACTCGGCCCAGCCCCTGGCAGTGCGGTCCGGGAATAGTGAGTGACCCAGCAACCCTCCAGCCGCAAGCACAGAGACAGATGTGCTCTCCAGGAAACCATAGCCCGCCTGCCCCGCCTCCTCATCGTCGTCCTCCTCCTCGTTGACCGTCGATTGGCTGCCATCAAAAGCTCCCACCCCGAAGGCTCACGGAGACCAGTGGGAGGAGGCTAACAACATTTCCTCGCAGGATAATTCGTAGTAGTATCTGCTCTTCAAGCTTATCTCGCTTGACTAATAGTTGTAGGAGATGTCAATCATCTCCGCCTCCCGCCCCCGCACAGCCTGAAAGTTCAGGGAAAAGCAGTTCCAACGTCGTGTATCCAGAGGCGGTGTTAAAAGAAGCTTTCTGATTGGCCAGAGACTGGCTTGGACCATCTTCGGGAGGAATGGGGACTCGTCGTATCCTCCTGCCCTTCTGGAGGTGGGTTCACCCACGAAGTGGGCCGGTCGGGAGCGCGGGAGGGTGGAGCGTCGCTTGCCCCGTGGACAAGGTGCTGTTGCCCAGGCGGAGCTTTGAGCTGGTTTGACTTCGCCGAGGTTCTTGTCGCTCCCCCAAGTCCCAGATTCCGGGGAGGGCGGCCGTACGGTGCATCAATCTCGCAGGGGAATCTGATTTTTAAAGCCCAGGGATATTATGCGCTTTAAAATGTAAAATATGAAAGTGTTAAAAGTGACGTGTGTGGAACAAAGACAAGTGAGGGATGTAGAGGAGTCGTTGGACTCAGGAATTGGAGGCTGTACTTTCCTCTGAGTCCAGCCCCTCTTGTAAAATGGACAATGTGTCACATACCACATACGGAATGAAAGCGAGCCTCCAGGACACTTCCCATCCCACAGGGAGGCTCCGGATATATCTGCGGACTTTCCGGGGAGGCCCCTCTTGCTGGCGGTCAGGAACCCCAGTCTGCAGTCACTGCTGTCTTCCTGACCTGGGCAAGTCGCCCCACTCCTGAGCCTGGTTCCTCATTTTTAAAAGGGGCTAGTGGAACCCACCTTCTGAGGTTGTCCTGAGGCTTAGAAGAGAGAACATCTGTAGGTGCCTGGGACATAGCTCAACGGTGACGAATGGATGAATGAGAAGAGATTTATCTGGACAGATTGGGTTTATCATCACTGTCATATGTTGGCCAGATGCATGCACCCCTCTTCTCACTCTCGCTGGTTCCCCTGGGATGGCTGGTGCTGAAAGGGAAGAGCAGCCCCTCAGGGAAGACGCCTGCCCCCAGGATTCGCCATCACATGCCTTTCGTTTGGCTACCAGCCTTGTGCAGGGCAATGAACACACACACGCTCTATAAATCGCTGTGAATGCTTCAGCCTTGAATGGGGAGTGAAACAGTGTGAGTTGTCTGGAATTTTCTTTCCTTGGCAGTCATTCCTGGTGGTGTGGTTAAGACCTGTCTCCTGCATTTCCCTTACCTACTTGTCTTCTTTGGAGACATCGGGCAAGCCTGTCTCAGACACCCCAGGCCTCGGTGAGTCACGAAGTCTCTGCCTGGTCTTCCTGCCTTCGCCTCCATGCTGTCCTGTCAATCCCTTAAAGGACCTCTTGAGTGAGTCACCCTCCTGAGGCAGCTCCATGGGGCTCAGATGCTGAGATCTGGGAGCCTCAGTTTCCTCATCTGCGAGGGGCGGGGGTGGTAATAATCGCACCTCCCTCCTAGGGCTGTCCTCCTCGGCACCACATCTGCTTTGGCCCTTCCCTTGCTGCTCCTGTGTGCGATTTTGGTCAGCACCATTGTAAGAGCATTTTGGATCTTCCCAGAGAGGTGGTAAACCCCGTACGGTGAATTCTACCACCTCACTCCACCATCCCAAGGGCCTTCTATACACCATTGATGACGAAACAAAAGCAGCATGACTGTCCCTGGGTTTTAGGTGATCAGAGAGTTTGGGAGCCCCGAGGGCCCTTGAGAAATTCTAGTCTCACCCCTCCCTGAGCAGCTATAACACAGCTGGAGTTTGCTGAGCACACACCGAGTGCTGGCCTCATTCTGATTGCTTTAAAGAATTCATTAATTTAATATTCATGTGCTTATTTGATAGTCACAGTAACCCCTGTGAGGCTTGCATCATCCCTGTTTGATAAACAGGGAGACTGAGGCCCAAATGAGGTGAAATCCAATGCCCGAGGTCACAAGGCTAGTGAAGGGCAGAACTGGGAATTGAACGCAGGTAGACTATCAACCTCCTGCCCCTGACAGCAACCTCTCCTGCTTCTAATCCCCTCGCACTTCTTCCCATCCTAGAGAGTAAATATTTATTGAGTTCGCTGCGCTAATAGCTTCTGCTGATTGAGCATTAGATATGCCAGGCACGTACTAAACCCTTCACATCCTCTCTCTTGTTGGATGCAATGACTCTAGGAAGTAGAAACTGTCATTCCTTTCATTTCACAGGTAGGGAAACTGAGGCCCACAGAGAGCCCAGGCTCGTGCAACAAGCCAGCTAGAAGCAGAACCAAGCACAGGTCTCCTGATCTTGGAACCGGTGTTTTTTTTTTTCCATTGCTTGATGTAGTCTTTCCTGTTTCATTAATAAGCTTTCCTTGAGTGCCTACCCTAGGCCAGGTCCTGAGCTAGTTGCTGGAGCCACGAAGTGAAGGTGACAGAGACCCAGGCAGCTCTGGGAGATCATGGGCACGTGGGAGTGCCGGCCCAGAGCCGCAGGACCCTGCGTTTTCTAGAGGAGCCGGGAATCTGGGTTTTTTCTGTGAATTCCCCTGACTCTCAAATTTTGGCAACGAACTTCAATTTATAACACCGCAGCTGCGTAGAATACGTCTGTTGTCCGCTTCACTCTGGGGGCTGCCCGTTTGTGACATTTAGTCAAGAAAGACAAATGTGTGAACAAACCCTCTGACAAGGATCGATACAAGACCCCAAGGAGCACCCGTAACCCTGGTTAGGTGGAGGGAGTTAGGAAAGATATTTTGGAAGGAGAGCCTTGAAAGGTGGGTAGGAATTTATGAGGCAGAGACAGGGGAAGGGACTTCCTGGGCAGATGGAACAGCACGTGCAAAGGCATGGAGTTGTCAGAGTGAGTTGAGCATTTGGAGAATGGCAGGTGACTCTCTTGTCTTAGGTGTGAATGGGAGACTGTAAGAGATGGGTCTGACCCAGGCCTTTGCTCGAAGCCAAATATACAGCGGAATGGCAAAAGAAAGTGAGGCAAGGCCTAGAACCTTCTTTGAGGGATTCATTCGACAAGGATTTTCCTGAGTACCACTTACTAAGTACCAGGGACTGAACCATCACAGTGGCTGTTCTCAGGGAGCATCCAACCCAGTGCGGAGGCAGGTAATCAAGCAGTGATGATCTATGACTGCTTGTGGTCAGGGTTGAGTAGGAAATGACTAGTTGCATTAAGAAAAAACATTCTATTCTGTGGTCCCTGGACCACACAGTGACTTGTTAGAAATGCACATTCCCAGGTCCCACCCAGACCAACGGAGCTCTGGGGGTGGAACTCACGATCTGTGTTTTTAGAAGCTTTTCTGGTGATTCAGATGCATGCTTATGTTTGGGAACCACTGCTCTTAGGTCATGCCAGGACCCACTTTTTTAACAAAAAAATATTTATTTTCCTTTTTTTGGCTGGGTCGAGCCTTAGTTGCTGCACATGGGGTCTTTGTTGAGGCACGTAGGATGCTTCCATTCCGAACGCGGTCTCTTCGTTGAGGCGCTCGGGTTTCTCTCTAGTTGTGTCGTGTGGGTTTTCTCTTCTCTAGTTGTGGCACGCGGGCTCCAGAGCGCATGGGCTCTGTACTTTGTGGCACGCAGGCTCTCTAGTTGAGGCTCACCAGCTCAATAGTTGTGGCACGCGGGCTGCCCCATGGCATGTGGGATCTTAGTTCCCCGACAAGGAGGGATTGAACCCGTGTACCCTGCATGGAAGGTGATTCTTTACCACTGGACCACCAGGGAAGTCCCTGCCAGGACTCACTTTTATCCACTTTCTCTGGTTGCTTTACTATTTCTTAAACTCCCCAAGACCCTTCCTGCCTCAGGGCCTTTGCACTTACTGTTCTCACCATGACTGCACAACTTTCTCACGACCTTCAGCTCTTTGTTCAAATGTCATCTTCTTGGAGAGGCCCTCCGAAGCATCCAGTTGAAAGAATCGCCCCCAATCTGTCAGACTCAACTCCTCATCTTACTTTACTTTCTTCATAGTATCCACCACTACCTGGTATTACTTTCCATATTAATTTGTTTATTTATCTAGTACCTGTCTCCCTCCACTAGAAGGTAAGCTTCATGGGAACAGCGACTTGGTCTCTTTTGTCCTCCCAGCATCTGGGACAGTGCCCAGCATGGCGAGATGCTCAGGAAATATTTTTGAATGAATGAATGAATCTCATAGAGTTTACCCTTCTGGTCATTCATTCATTCATCCAACAAGCACGGATTCTAGAGCCAACTCTTGTGCAGGTAATAGGCTTACTGTTGGAAGGGGTGCTGTGGCCATTTGGACGGGGGCAGCCTGGTGCCTGGGTCTTCCACACCCCCACCTCCCCCGCACTGCACAGCCAGCTCCCAACCCGTAGAACCTCCAGACCTTCCAGAACTTCCAGACCTGAGGGCTCCGTGGAGGAGGAGGGGTTAACAGCGCTGCTTCCCAAAGCCAGGGACTAGGCTGTTTGGGCTGATTGGGAAGCGAGGGCTTTGGGTGAGAAGGAGGCAGAGAGGCAGCTCCTGACAAGTCATTTCCAGGGAATGTTCAATCATCCTGGGGTTGAATGCTTCCTGACAGCCCTGACAAGCAGCGTGCATCTGAGCTGCGGCTCGGTGCCAGGGACACCTGCAGTATTCCACGCACGGCGCCCTGGCCGATCGTGCCCACTTCAGGGTGCGAGTCCCTCTGCCATGGTTCCAGAGGTTTCTGCGCTGCCTGGGCTGCTCCTCAGAACCCCATGCTTGTAGAGTGTATTAGCAGGACTGTTGGATGCAAAACAATCCCACTGGGGACATAGAGGCTTTAGGAGAAATTAGTGGGGAGAGGCCTCTTGAGAGTTATCCGGCATGAATCCTCAGGAAGACTTGCTCTAATGCCCTCATGTGAGAGGGAAGTGCAAAAGAGAGGGCTAGTAGATTTGTAGGAATTTTATATATTTGGATCAGGGCTTCTTCATCTTGGTACTATTGACATTTTGGATTGGCTAATTCTCGGGTGTAGGGGCCGTCCTGTGCATCATAGGGTGTTTCGCAGCAACTCTGGCCTCTACCCATTAGATGCCAGAATCAGGTCCCTCATTGTGACACCCCAAAATGCCTCCAGTTATTGCCAAATGTCCCCTGGGGGGGGGAAAATTAACCATGGATGAGGACCACTGATGTATGAACTCAATGGGTAGGGAATATTGATTTTAAAATAGAAATCTGAAAGGATTGGGACTCAGTCTTTCTGCATTGGAATCCTGCTTTGCCTCTCAAGCTCAGTTTCCTCATTGCTGCACGTCTGGGTGCCACGAGCATCAGCTGAGTTAACACATGACAAGTAAGGGTTCTAGACCGGCACCTGACAAGTCATGAGATTCAGTAAACACCTGCTCTTATTAACAGCCATTGGGAGGCTGGTGAATCCCCCTAGGGGGACGTATAATGCAGCGGTGGCGTCTGTTTGACAATTTCCTATAATGCACTGTGTTGCAGCTGCCTTCTGGTACACTGCTTTCTCATGGTAATGACCTTTGCTGTTCAGTTTTCCACTGTTCACGTGGGCCTGGTGGTTTATGTCTCCGCTGATGCAGTACCCGGAGGTGGCCATCTCGGCAAAGGGCAGAGGAAATGTGACTGACTCACCTTCTGTGTGCCCAGAATGCAAAGTGGAGCCCTGAGCTGTGGCCTCGGAATTGCACAGAGGCTGCGATATCCCAATTCTGTCAGCAGGGGGCAGCAGCAGCCGGGAAAATGCCCGCTGCTGCGGGAGGGCGCCCAGGGGCTGCCTCGCTGTTTTGATTTACTTCGCTGCTGCAGGTATTTCAAGTTGAGCAAATCATCCCTCCAGGGCCACCCGAGGTTTCTTTTACCAGCCCATGGTAGTTCATCTGCGGGAGCCAAGAGTTGCTTTTGGAGAACATTCTACATTTAGCGTGTCTGTCCATTTCCAGATGGCTCAGTCAGAACCTAGGCCAAATTGTGCTAGGGACAAAGTTAAACTGGTTCCTGTTGTTCTATGTTCCTTTCCCCCTCTGCTCACCGCACCCCATCCTGCCCCTCATCTGAGTGACACAATGCCCTTCCCAGAAAGCACCCCAAGCAGTTGCACCCTATGCTCAGGCGCCATCTTACCTTGTTCCCCATCCTGCCCCCACCATAGAAACTCAGCAGTCCAGAGTCTCATTCTCTCATCATTTCCCTGAGTCCACTCTTGACCTGTTCCATTGCATTTTCTACCCAGCAGCCAGGGTCATATTTAAAATGTTTAAATTTTGAACAGACAGTCTCTTCCCTAACTTTAAAATTTAAAAGAT